ATTTAAAAATAAGTTTAAAGGTGTTTAAGTTTGGTTTAAGTTTGTTTTAAAAGAGTTTGTTTGTTAAGAAACTTTCACAAGAGCAAGAAGAAATTATCCGTCGGTGTTTGAGCTTCAACTCATCTCTCTCTCACTCTTGTCATTTATTGGAGAAGTTTTCTAAACTCAATCTAGCGTTGCATTTATATATAATTGTTTGATTATCATTTTTCTAAGCTAGAGTTTATATTGAGTTTAGTTTGATTTTGATTTATTGAATCTCATTGTTACACACACTCACTTGAGCTTTTAGTATTTACATACATAGTATAATTTGGGTTGTGAGAGATTGTAACATTGAGTTGTGCTTAATTGAGTTATCCTATTGTTTAGAGAACAATCATTTGTTGTGAGCTATTATTATGAGGTTCACTTTGTATTACACTAGTACACCAAGATGAGTGTGTGGTGAGAGTCGGGGTTGTTCCAAGAGGAGTAACGTTGGTAGTAAAGCCTAAAGAGAAATAGTAATTTCGAGCACTTGAGGGAGACACGAGCTAGAGACCAACACTTGAGGTGGTAGTTAGTGTGTTTACACTGTGAGTGATTGTAAAGTTTTCGGTGAGATAGAAAACCGAGTGTGAGGTGTAAACGTTTTCGGGTGAGCGTTGAAAACTCAACGTGATAGTGGATTTCTCACCAGGAGTGGGGAGCGGAGACGCAAAACGGAAGGTCCGAACTCCGTGATCATTTTGCTTGTTTGAGTTTGGCTTGACACACTTATATCTTTGTTCATCTTTATTGCTATTCTCTCATTGCTTATTTCATCCACTATATTGTTTATATCTTGTTTCACCCTTGTGTTAGTTTCATATTATATTGTTTATATCTTGTTTCACCCTTGTGTTAGTTTCATATCCTTGCATATATCTCTTGTTGTATCTCATTGCTAGGATATATTTGTTTCACCCTTGTGTTAGTTTCATATCCTTGCATATATCTCTTGTTGTATCTCATTGCTAGGATATATTTATTAATTAGTTTTAATTGGTATTAAATCGGATTAGATTAGCATAAACCATATTCACCCCCCTTTAGGGTTCTTTCCTAATGGCATTATGGTGCTTTTAAGTGGGGGAGAAGGGAAAGTAAACGAGAGGAGAAACCCCAATTTTTTCTTTCCTCCAAATTAGAGTGTAACTAGGGTGAAGATAAAGGAGAGGAGCAAATTAATTATAGAGAGACTAATTTACCCCTATCAAGATCTAACAATAACATAACTTAATAATATGTAAGGGTATTTATGTCATTTCATATATATTCAATTCCCTTCCCTTCACTTTATTATACTTCTCAAACGGGGTAAAATAAGTTGTCCTTGATTCTCTTTACTAATTTCCCAAATAAATTTTACATGTTACCTTACCTTCCCTTAACGCAACTTCTCTTAGATTCTCTTAGGGGGTGTTTGTTTCACCCTTTTTATGGAATAGGAATATGAATTGATCTGACAGGGGTAAAATCGTAAATAAAGGATTCTTTATGAATCCTATTCCCGAGTTTGGTTCATAACAAATTTATAGATTTTGAAATCTATAAAGTTGAAAAGGTATGGTGATTTTATAGAAATCCAAATCCTAATGATTTGAGAGGATTTGGGGCAAAAAGGTGACGCACCCGTACTATTCTCCCTATTTTTTTTCGGATTCCGTTTCTTCACAAACTCTATATTGTTATGAGACGAATCATATTCTCATTCCAAACCAAACTAAAAAATATGAATTGGAGAGCTTCTATAAAGTTGGATTCCATTTTCTCATGTTATGAAACAAACATAAAAAAGGAAAAGAAAAGATTCCATAAATCCATAAACTTGTCTTAAATTTTTTTATGGATTTGATAAGAATGCATAAAAAAAATTGGATCCCTAATCCTATTCTTGTCCACTATTGAACCAAACACCCCCTTAGCTTCTCTTCACTCGCTTCAAATCCAAGCAAGCCGTTAATTTTTAAATAAATAGACACCTATCGACCACCCAAGAAAATTCTTGTGGATGCACGGGTGACCACACTTTAAACTGGTTAGTTCGGACTTCTAATCGGCCGGACAAAAAACGGTAAACCATCCGGTTCAGCCCGAACCCATGAATCCAAGAGCAACGAAGCGGTTCCGGTTTTAAAGTGTCCCGTTCCGTTCCCAACCTCTACACGTGTACCACCTCATGAGAGAGGTTACAGCGGAAGGGCATCTCCGTTCGCGCGTGTCGCTGGACGTGCTTCGCAATTTTCTGCGTTTTGTTTCTTTCCTCCGCATTCAAAACGAAGCTAGCATGAACGAGGCATGTAGGACACGTGGAAGATTCTGACTGGGGGAAGTAAGACGCTCTCGGGGTGGAAGGAGGAAAAGTTGGCAGAGCCGCAGAGAGCAGTGATTCAAGGAGTGGGATATTTCATAAAATAATAGAATTATTAATTAATGAGGACTACACTGCAACTTGTATTTTGCTATTCCTTTTTTGCCCTTTCAACGAAGCAGAATCACCATTTTGAAAAATAACATATTATATGCATCCATTTTTGCAGATGCATCCCACGATTTAAATTAAGATTTTTCCCCCCTAGAAACCACCTTTTAAAATATGGTGATTCTATAGAAACCAACTTTGATGTTCAATTTATATATAATTCACTTTTAAAATCATTTTGGTTGCAATCAGCTATCTCGGTCCACTTTTTAGTTTAAAATTTTCACTAATTGATCCCGTATAGCCTCTATTAAGGATCATATTTGGCAACCAATTATTACAACAAAACTAGAAAATTTAATTTAAAAGTGAGTTCGAGGTGATTGATTGCAACAAAAAAGACTTTAAATGTGATTTATGTGTAAATTAAACATCAAAGATGGCTTCTATAAAATCACCTTATTTTATAGGTGGTTTCCATAAAAAAGAAAACATTTAAATTAATGACTTATTTTTAGGTGAGTGCCCTTTTCGGTACTTGATTAGGAGAGGGGCTCATGTACCTTTTCTAGTTTTGCTTAAGGGGCTGTTTGGTTGGTTTCCAAAAAGCCAAGAATAGGAAATTGGAGCTTGGAAATCTCCAAAATTTCAATTTCCACCATTTCCATCCATAAAACTTACCTACAACATCTAATAAAATATTATTTTCATCCAACAACTCATCCACATCATCCAATAAAATATTATTTTCATCCAACAACCTATCTCATATCATCCAATAAAATAAACCAAATAAAAGAAACGGGTCACATCATCCAACTCATCTCATCTCTCATATCATCCAATAAAATAAACCAAATAAAAGAAACGGGTCACATCATCCAACTCATCTCATCTCCATTCCATCTCATCTTTAAAAATCACCCACATCATCCAATAATATTGTGACAACTCATCTCATCTCATCTCCATTTCATCTCCACCCATTTCCTCCAAAAAACAAGGAAATTGATTTCCTTAAGTGTGGGCCACATCATCCAATAATATAATGACAACTCATCTCATCTCATCTCATCTCCTATTTTTAAGAATGAACCAAACACAAGAGAAGAACCTATTTATAAGAAATATGTTTCCTATTCTTTGATTTCCTTCTTTTTTAACCAACCAAACAACCTCAAAACAACTTTTCTTAAAAAAAAATACCCACATCATCCAATAATATTGTGACAACTCATTTCCTATTATTTGATTTCCTTCTTTTTGTAACCAACCAAACAACCATAAAACAAATTTTTAAGGAAATAGGTTTCCTATTCCTTAATTTCCTTCTTTTTTTTAGCAAGCAAACAGCCCCTAAACAAAAATGAGGAAATATTTAAAAATATTTAGTACCTTAAACAGTCAATATCTAATCAAACACACTGACATTGTAATATAGTATTTTCTTAGTTAAACCTAAGGACTTTAAATTTAGACTATAGTTTATGATATATTTCTATATGTCAATTGATTCTCTATTTCGAATTGAATATTGAATTATAGGAACTATTCATGTTAGGAAAATCTAAGCTTCATGCCGTGCCAATTTGACGATGTTTATTTTCTATGTAGTTTATATTATAGTTTGCATTTTTTATAGTTAATTCTTACATAATTAGATAGATATTGGATGCACTCACAATATTACAAACTTCTAAGCATTTGTATTTAAGATAACACATATATGTCAGTATCCTGTTCTATTATTGTTTAAATGAATGAATATGAATATATACATATAAAGTAGCTAATTGAGAAAAAGAAAAAGAGCAATAAAATAAAACAACTAGCAGCGGGATCAACTTGCTAATATTCGTAAACAATAATATCTTGATAATACTACAACATGGATATTTCAATACATCAACAAATTAAGAAATTCTTACCAAACATCATATACCATTTAAATATTTTCGTAGTTGCATTTGTTCTCAAATAAAACAAGCAAGTAGGATATGAGAGAATGTTTCAGGCCATGTAAATTAACAAAATAAGGTAAGATGGAAGAACAAATCAAATATCTACTAAATAATTTTGCAAATCGCAAACAAAACAAAATGTCAACTAAATCCCAGCATATCTTCTCCTTTCTCACAAAAAGATATAATTCAGGGGCAAAAGAGTCATTTCCGATCCACCCCCTCCTCTCTCCATCTTTCAACAGTCATTTCCTTTTCAACAAAAAGTCTCTTTCTACCATAAAATAAGGAAGAGCAAATTCAAATCTCTCCTCCTCTCATTTTAAAAAAACCCGCCTCCACGCAGGTCGGCGCTGTCCGCAGAGGCGACCCGGAGCACCAGCGACGCGGCAGAACCACCCCGGCACCCCCACTACCCACCCAAAAAAAAAAAACCCGGCTGGGCCGCCGTCGCATCCACTATGTCCTCCGATCTCCCAGTCGCCGGCGACGGCGCCTGCATGAAATGCAAAGCAACGCCGCGGAGGCGGAAATCGTCCCTGCGCCAGACGTGCGTCACCCCTGGCACGTGCCAGTGCCTCTCCAAACCTCCGAAACCCTCGCCTCTGTCGCCGATTGATTTGTCCTGACTGCTCCCTCCGGCGACGCGGCGGTGAGGTTTCCGCCTACGCCGCCTCCTTCGCGGCAACCGCCTCGGCCGCTGAGGATCCAACGATCTTGTGATGAAAGATAAAGGCGATCCAGGCGGATGGGACACTGAAGAAAAGAGAAGGCAAGAGGAGGCAGCCTGTTAGCGGGATGGCGCAGGATAATGAAGATGAGGTGGAGGATAAGAGGAAGGAGAAGGGAGACGGTGGAGTGCTTCAGGTTCTTGATGAGAGCTTCAAGTGCTCGTTTTGCATGCAGTTGATTGAACGCCCTGTGACTGTGAGTAGTATTCTTGAAAAAGCTGTTATGAATTTATTTATTTATATTAATAATTCTGATGAACAGTTCTGGAAATATTTTAGATAGTTTTATGATGAAGGCTGTTACTTCGTTTATTAGCATTGACCAAAAAAAAAAGTTTATTAGCTCTTACTGATTGTCTCTTGAATCTGATTATTATCATCATTATTCCGTCCTTGGAAGAATAAGTAGGGTTTTATTGATCTTTTTAATGCATTTTTAGACCAGTTGGATGGATGAGAGGTATGCCTTGTAGTTCCGTACACTAGTAATTAATTTTTTGAAAAATTATTTTTTTATTCCAACTTATTTTTTTCTTATTCTTTTTGGTTGAAGAGTCTCAGGGAGATTGAATTAATATCTGACACATCTGATTTAAAAATCGGAGTTTTCCTCTCACATTTTAAACTGCTTTAAAAATATTTTATTCTTGTGATGATGTGCTTCAATTAATTGTTTTTTTTTCCTTTTCGTTTCTTTCATTTCAAAAGTTTAAACTACTGATGCTTTTGTCTTTTTGTTCAGTTTCTGGTTGTAAAATTCGTTCGAGGCGGGGGAGAAGCAAAAGGGTGAAGGGTGTTTTCTGTCATTTTACAAAACTTTTTTGGAAGTTTGAAGGGCAGTTTTCAATATATACGATTAGGATCACCTGTGGTTTAGTTTTTTTTAAAGCTGAACTCTTCATCACCAGCATTGCTAAATCAAGAAATTAGATATTTTGCCCAATAAAAGTTTGAAAATTTAGCTGAAATTCATAGACATAATTTTGTTTGTTTAAGCTACTCTGGTTGTTGGTAAATATTAAATAATCTAGTGTTAAATAATTATCATGAATGACAATCTAAAGAATTGCCTATTAATAGGTGCGATATTGTGATATCGTTAGCAAGATTGGTCAAAGAAGACAGTGAATATTTCCTTAAACAATGAAGTAGAAAACAAGGGCGATTGAGTAAACTTTTTATCTTATCTTACATTTGGTATATCTTTTGGAGAATCGTAAGGGGCTTATCTTGCCACTTTCGTTCGCTTTATCCAAGTCACAGTAGAGATCAACTCTTATCTCTTATTTTGGATAAAGCAATTCACAAGAATTCTCATCATCAAAATCCATTAGGTCAAAGACATTAGGACGGGTCAAAAACTCGATACTAACCTAAATCATACTAGTGTTATCAAAGTCATGCGCCTCATTGTGCCTTGCGATGCGGGACGGTGGAATCGCCTTTTTGCGCCTCATGCACCTTGCGTGAGGGTGCTTCACAAGGGGCACATGTGTGACATAGTCAGATATATTTTTGTTCTTTAACCTTTCAGTCGAGTCTTTCACCCGATAATTCATATCCAAAAAAGAAAAGTAAACCTATTAGGCCATAATTGCTTGCCCCATTGAGGCCTCTAACTCGTTCTTGTTTACTATTTGATTTGCTTTGATATTTACTTGAGTTGACTTTTGAGTTGGAAAATTGTGAACTTTACTAACTACATTGGATGTGTTAGCATTATGAACTTAGACCTTATTTTGTTATTTGATAGTAGAAATTATTTGTCTTGACATGTTTTATGTGAAAGTTCATAAACATGTTCTTTCACGCTTGATTATCTATCTTGAAAAGTTTTACGTATGTGGTGTGGGCCTCGCTTCACATTGGCGCAAACATTGCCTTGCGCCTTGTGCCTTGTGCATGTTTGTGTCTTTGCGCCTTGCGCATGTCCATGTAAAGGAACATTACACATCGCATTGTGCATCACATATTGATAATGCTGAATCATACTAAGCTTGTGCCAAGCCCCAAGCTCAATTTGCAATTTCTTGATAAGAAAATTTGGGAAATTTGGTTTAGTTAGTGGCTCTATCTTGACCCATAATCTATATTTGTTAAGAAGTAATTGTATGGCCTAATCCCTACTATTTTGAAAGTTCAAGATCTGATTCTCAATGCTCCAGTTTTCCCTCCAAAACACTCACGTGGTGTTACAATAAAAATCAAATTTCCTGTCATATCCATTGTTTTAAATAGCGGTAAAGAGCCCTGCTACAACGGAGCTATTGTGTTAGCGAGGCCGCCGTGAGAAGTAGGGCCTTAGCAAAGAACAATAGCATTCGTGAGCACTTTTCACTCGCAAAAGCACTCAAAAGCATGAAATAGTGGTAAAAATATGCTTTTTATTACTTTTACCTCTTAAATAAAAGTTGTTAAAGTGGAGTTTGGATCGATTAAACCCGACCCGTATCACACCTGACTTGAATTTTATTAAATCTCAAGTCCAACCTCGTTTCTTTCTCCTCTCTGTCGATAGAAAAAAAACCCTAAAGTCGCCGTATCCATCAATCTCTTCTCTCTCTCCCAGTGCACTGCCTCCAACCTCTTCCTGCCACCTCCCACAACTACTTCTCTCTTCTACTCCAGTTCCTTCGCTATCTCTAACGGTTACCACAATGCCACTTCCAATAGTGATAGTAATCTAGAGCACTAAGACACCATGAGAGGGTGCTGACAATATTCTAGGTGCTAATTGTATATCGAAAGTAGAATTTTTAGAATTTTCTTTAATTTTTCTTATTTTTAAAAATATATATACTATTTATATTGGACCGTTGCTTGACTTTGTGCTTTTTTTCGCTATAGTCCCAAATAGCTTTAGACGTACCTCACTACCACGCGAAGCTATCCTTAATCAATGGTAATGTTGATAACCTTGGTTTTATCTACATGTCTATGTGATTAGTGCCTCATCACTAGTAATGTTGAGCATCCTTAGGGTACTGCCAAAAGTGTGATGATTAATCAACTAATCATTAATCAATAGATGGCTCTCACATTAAGATTGTAAGACGATTATTTTTTCGCCTCATGTATAAGACTTTTAGAAAACGGTAAAAATACCAAATTGGTATATTTTGTTTACCCTTAGTGACAGTTTGGTATATAGTTTTTTTTTTCTGACGATATATTGGTATTTTTTTTTCTTCGGCGACAAATAAGCCTCAAGTTTTACCGAATCCAATTTTACGACGATTTTTCTCACGTGACGGCTCACATGATGCAAACGTGACTCAACGTGGCTTCCAACGTGGCAATAGTGTTGTGCGCAGCGGAAATTTCGGCAGCATTTCGACAGCACTTCGGCAGCACAACAAGAGAGATTAGATCGATAAGAATTCCCGTCTCTCAAAGGAAACAAGAATCTGAAGCGGATATCTCATCAAAGTAAGATATCGGCTCTTCCTCTCATCAGTTCTAGGACTGACCTGTCGAGGGATCCTACAAGCTATTACAAATCACGACAAGAACACAACTTTTACGTGGTTCGGCAAATAGCCTACGTCCACGGGGCAAGGAGGGGGAGATCTACTATTAGAGGGAGAGATACAACTGCCGCTCTTTGCTCCTTGCTTTTTCCAAATTTGTAGCCGCAAAAGAAACCCCAACTTGCTTGCCATCTGCCCTAGGAGAACCCCGTATTTATATGAATGTTCAATTGGGTGGGCCTGCCTTTTACCCACTTGCCACCACGAATGATTCGTGGCCACGAACGCGTAACTTCACGCGTCATGCTCGTGAACGTGGGTCTACATGTGTTCACGAGAACACCTCACTTTTGTAAGTGGCCCCCACTCATCACGTGCTCACAATTCTCCACCTCGGTGAAGTTTCTTTCAAAACTGAGCCGACACCAACCAAACTAAATGTCTCACTTGCTGCTTCTCAATCCTCAACAAGTCGAGACTCAAACGGGAGTACGAACACTCACCCAAACGTCGGTATCTACTCACCAAATCGATCAAATCCCATCAAAATCAACTAATCCAAGGCGGCTGCATCTGTAAAGACTGCCTACGTATCCTCTTGCCCAAGGAATCAAGCCTCACGTAGTTCACCCAATGGCCTCGAAAGGCCTCAACACCGAAGAATGTTCAAAAGTTCCAAACAATGACCAAACTTCAAACCTGAAACAACTTTGGTCAACATATCTGCAGGGTTGTCCTTCGTGTGGATCTTCTCCAACATGACGTCTCCTTCATCCAAAACGTCACGAACAAAATGGAATCTGACATCGATATGCTTTGTGCGTGCATGATAAACTTGGTTCTTCGCCAAATAGATAGCTGACATGCTATCACAATATACCCGAAGAGTCTCCTGTGCAATCCCCAAGTTCTCCAATAATTCCTGCAACCACAAAGCCTCCTTCATAGCTTCAGTCAACGCCATATACTCTGCCTCCGTAGTGGAGAGCGCCACTGTAGACTGAAGTGTGCATCTCCAACACACCGGTGCACCTGCTAATGTAAACACATAACCCGAAGTAGACCGGCGCTTGTCAAGATCTCCAGCATAATCTGAATCCATGTAACCAATACAATCCTGTCCTGTCTTCACATTCTTCTGAAATACCAAACCAACATCCACGGTACCTTTGATATACCGTAGAATCCACTTCACGGCCTCCCAATGACCATTCCCGGGGTCGTGCATGTATCTGGATACCATGCTCACGGCCTGTGATAAATCTGGCCTTGTACACACCATCGCATACATCAAGCTACCCATAGCATTGGCATATAGAACTTTGGACATGTATTCACGGTCCTCAACTGAAACATGTGACATCTTAGTTGATAGCTTAAAGTGGGGAGCTAATGGAGTACCCACCGCCTTGGCATTGCCATCATAAGTGAATTTCTTCAGCATCTTCTGCAAGTAACTCCTCTGTGTCAACTTCAACCTCCCCTTCACCCTGTCTCCAAGTAACTCCTCTGTGTCAACTTCAACCTCCCCTTCACCCTGTCTCTCTCGATCTCCATACCTAATATCTTCTTTGCTTCTCCAAGATCCTTCATCTTCACCCTGTCTCTCTCGATCTCCATACCTAATATCTTCTTTGCTTCTCCAAGATCCTTCATCTCAAATTCCGATGACAGCTCCTTTTTCAACTTTCTAATAGCTGAAGTATTTCTGGAAGCTATGAGCATA